GAACTTTACCGCGGCGTACAAAGTCTGCCCGTGCGAACGCACGCTAAGACAATCAGATTCAGAGAAGAATAAAGCAAAAAGGTGACGGCAGATATTTTCTTATGCTAGCGCAATTTGTATACAATTTGATTGATATACCATAAACGATATAATTAAGCTAATTACATCTCTTGCCAGCTTCTCGAAACATGATAACGTGATTCCCCTAGTTCATTGCATAATATGCAATTGTTTCTCTTTCATAAATATAAATGTACTATTCATCCCTTACCAAGGTGGACAAACGCTAAGCGGGTTATCTGCTGGAGAATAAGTGGAACCAGTGTGTAGTTACATGACAATATAAATATCAACTGACATCAAATAACTCTTAAGTTCACTGATCAATAGCCTAGTCGATGAATAAAACGGAGTAAGGAGTCGATTTGACTTTTAGGCTCCGTTCACACAGACCAGAGATTAGAGCATAGCAGATTCTCTATCTCTCTGAACGCACCCTTATTCAGAGATTAATAATTCATTTATTTACTATTTATGGAAACACATGTTAAACTTATAACCCAAGTAATTTAAAAAGTCAATTATACTGTTAACGGTCAGAAATCATTTAAAGTAATGTTATTATTTAATTATTTCTGATATAATTATTTCTGAACTCTAACCGTGAACTGTAATTACTTGATTTTTCTTTCTAGAAAAAATCAAACATGACAAACCAAACTCTAATATACATTATCACTTCATCATCATCACCTTATCCTGCTCCCGTAGGCTCTGCTCATCGGGTTTTCGTCCACCAAGTATGTGAAGTGATACGTTGTTAATAACAAGTTAAGTTAAAGGTTCAAAACTTGGTCCAAAGTTCTCCGGCATCAACATATTCATTCTACGCTTATACGCTTTCTTCTTTTAAACGTCGTACTGTTTTTGTAATTTATGTGTTGCACATCACACAGGTACTTTTTTTTCATACAGAAAATTTTAATTTCAAGGAAAAACACTCGATATCACGTCTATGATTGTCGTCCTAAATAAAATAAATATAAAAGTGCAGCCTACATTTGTTGAAAACCCGCTAACAACTTGTCTACACCCTTATGTTACATTATGTATGTACTTAAGTAAAGTACTAACTAGTTTTAAACAATCTTGATCTAACCTTGTAAAAGAGTTAACTGCAATTGCATTATAATTGTTAATGTAACTTTTTTCCTATCATAGTTCGAACAGTTTACATATTTATATCATGTTCACGGAAATATACATTTTTTATCTTTAACTATAATTTGACTGTCTAGAATAAACTGGTTAGGGTTAGGGCTCTTTCATTACACACGTAATTTTGTAACTTTACGATCCTCATCTACCCTCTGTCGATATGTGTCTCCCCCATTTCGAACCTAACTTGTCAAATGCCAATGCCATGCCAAATTTAAAAAAAAAATATCGATTAAAATTCTTACAGGAAATGGAAAAAATAAAGTAAATGCACATTAACCACGACCCTAAGTACTGCGAAAACAACGAAACAAAAAGAGAAAGAATAGCGTGTAACAGTGTTTAATTTATTTTTCAACTTTTATGAATTTACAACGGCGAAGGTGGATCAGTAACAAACTGGATAAGCATTACGAGGAAAGTCACCACAGAGCGAGCACCCTGTAATTAAAAAAATCTATTAAAGATTACAAAAAACTACTTTCTTAAGCCTATTAGGATAAAAGTGATTAGATAAGAACTTTGGCAATAGCGTTTCGTAAGTCAGTTTGTGACAAAAAACCGCGATGACAGATTGTTGCCTAAAGGTAAGCTGCAAGATATTCTTTTAAAAAGACAATTAGTAACCACGCAAAGTGTTGTTGGTCATACTGTTAAACATTCTCTCTCTCTTTCACACTCTGTCTTTGGCGGTATTCCCAAACCAATACGACTTAGGGTCATTCAAGAAGCGAGCCTATAATTTCCTCAAAGGCCGGCAACTCATTTGTTCCTCTGGTGTTGCGGATGTCCATGTGCGTCATTGACCACCTCGGTGTTCGCGCCGCTCATTTGCCCACTTTTATTATAAAAAAAATGATATTCCAAGTCACACCAAGGCGTGAATACATTATATAATTATTTAAGTATGCGGACATCGAAATAGTCATAGCTTACTGGTGGAGCAGAATACATAGCAGTTATGTAGTGTTGATAATAACCGATATCAATGTGATGTACTAAAGGGCATGATAATATACCTCTAATATAAGTAAGTAGTCCAACTTGTACAAGCCCCGAGCGGTGAACACAGGAATTTGGTGCAGTAGTTGTAGAGACAACTGCATTGCCTGCAAGTTGAGGTTTTGATTCTCAAACGATCAGGTCATTCAACTTTCCCCGACAGTCATGAAGTACTACAGTAATGAACGTTTTGAAAGCTAATTAAAAGCTGTGCCGAAATTAGTTTCAACAACGGTACTTCTTTTGAAGAAATTTATTAACGTGTTTCCTTAGAAACTTTTTTACCTATTATATTTGGTTAGGAATAAAAATATTAAACTAAGTCTATTCGTACGCAACGCAAATCTTCGACACTAATATTGTATACTTGCGTCGTGAATATCGCAGTTCGTGTGCTCCGTACTGACTATCATTTCCTTAGGATGTCACTAATCTCATTAGTACTTTTGACCTACCCTTACCATCATCAACTTGCCCTTATCCCTTGTGGAGGGTTGGCACAGTATGTGCTGCTGTTCCATACATCTCTATTGGACTACCCTTACCAAAACACTATAATACTTTTTTCAACATAAAATCAAGTCACAATCATTCAGTATTTAATTTTAAATATCTTTAATACGTAATACATCGTTTTAATTTAAGTTGCATCGTATTTCATAAATGTCAATACATGCAATAAATTACAAAAAAAAAACATGTTACCTCGGACGTTATAGCTGTACTGACATTGTTATTAATAATTTCATGAATAATAAATCCTGTAGTTTTAGCCTGGAAAGTGAAACAATATTACACTTTTTATTATAAATTAAACACGACTACACAAATATGATAGACGTTAAGTGTCTAAAAGCGTGAAAACTCCACACCTGAAACCAAACTATCGCACAATTGTTTAGTCTCACTTTGATTTCTATGATCTTATTTGGAGGTGCGCATATTACTTAGTTTGTTGTGCAACTAAACAGTTGAATTGGCTGCGAAACAATCGACACTCGCACAACAGTTGTGTTATAGTGTAGTCAAAGGTGTACACCCGCTCTCAGTCAAAAAATATTGACAACTTTAAGTTTTACGTTTTAACTTGTTACTGATGTATATTAAGTTGCTACCCTTGCGACTACCTGTCTTTTAAACGCACGAGCAATCAAGGTATGAATAAATATGTAATAAAAACGTTTTTTTTTTTGCGTGGTACATAAACAATTACTGTTATTACATTTGCAATAAAAAACTGCCGCATTTTGTTATAATAGTTATAGTTATGACAGTAAATATGCGCACAATGGACAGGTAATATAAATATGTGCATAGTAAATGTAGCTGTATCAAATCATAGTATTTTATGGGACTAGTTCGATACCACTGTCTTGTAAAAGGCAAGCCCAACAACGTAGCTTTTATGACTAGTTCTAAGAAAAATTATATGTCCACTTTTGAAATACTACTGACTATGTATTTTATATCGAAATACATAAACATGTTAATTCTGCTATGTAATTTGTTTTTAATATTTCGAAGCAAATACTTACCTCAGCTACGGTTAATTCGCAAAGGCATACGATTGCATAGATTACAGCTATACCTACAATGATATGCCAAAATACGTAAACTAGGAACGCGCAGTACCGCGGCACGTCGTAGAACAAACCGGCAGCGGTAGCTTCCATCAGGTAGAACAAATTCAATGTAATCGTAACGAGACAAAAGAACATAGTAAATACTAAAGCCACGCCATATTTCTTGTTTGAATTCTCTGTACTCTCGTACAGCATACTAACAATATTAGCACACGTCTTTATTTTCTCACACACGCATTTCTCTTGTATTTGCAAAGCTCTCTCTTCGTTCCTGGCTCGTCTCTCACGGACGAAAATATAATACTCTTGTGATTTCCTATCTTTTATCGTCCTAAGAATTTGATTCACAATTTTATATCTCTCCTTCACCATCATCAAATGAAAACAATAATGACTAGCGATTGTTAGCATCAACATTTCTATATAAACCACATCGTACAATTTATTCCACGGTAAAGGTGCTTCGAGATTCTCCAGAACCATCCATAATGTCCATAATTTCAACCCACTTAGTGCTATTTGAATCAATATAACTATTAATCCAACTAAAGATGTTTGCAAATGATGTACCGATTGGAACATACGATGAATTTTTTCATCTATATGAGCAAATTCTTGAGAATCTCCAATACATTTGCTTAAATCGAATGGTATCTTCCACATTAGGTACAATACGTAGGGAAAAGATAAGACATCTTGCAGAGAATCCCCATATTGTTTTAATTTAGTGTCATACAGGAGTCTTAGTATAGTTTCTCCTTCGATATAAGAGACGAATGAGGAATAAATGTATATACTATTCCACAGCAGAAAGCATAGTAAGCCAACATAATTAAAACGATACTCTATTTTATCTCTGACTGAACTGGCAGTAAAAATAGTAGTTCCCAGTAGACTCTTCAAACATGCCAGCAGGTTCTGACGTCGGATGATTCTCGACATTCTTTCTACTATAGTATTAAATTTCAGATACACAGACATAACGAACGGTACTTCGACTGCGTTTGAATAGACGCTACTCAAATGACGTGTATGGATCCAAGGATTACAAGTGCTAAAGGATTGACGTATTAAAATAATGCTGCGTAATTAACGTAGACTATTTCACTTGCGGTGTAAAAGGTATAATTAAAATAATTAGAGCAAATGGAGCGTAATTGAAATGGTCAATATACATAATAAACGTGAATATTTAAGAGGGTATTTGTAGTGTAGATAATCACCCACGATAAGAATGAACGCTTACATTATTATTCATTAAGATTTTTAGATAAATTGACTAAAATATAACGATGATTCTTACAATCGTAATAGTCAGTGTGGATTAATTAAAATAAAGCGTACTACAGACGATCCGTACTGAGTTTTAAGTCAGGAGTCAAACTGCAGGTAAAACTCTACCTGTAAAAAAGTTCAGTACAAGTCAGTTAAAACTGAACGTATATAGCGGGAATAAAAGGTACTTTAGTTGATAAATAAAACCATTTTATGATATCGCAATTATCCAACAGATATTTAGATATTTTATTTGCTGAGAGTTGACATTTACAATGGTTACCTACATTATTGAACATCGTAGGCATTTATCGTCTCGATTAACAATGACAAGTTAGGCGTGTTATGTACAAAGGTTTTAAGTATAATTCAAACTATATTTTTGTATTTATAAGCGCTATACAACTTTACAATAAATTGTTATTCGCAAACAACAGTACTATTATATACTTCAATATTTAGAACAGTGAACAGCTGCGTAGTTAAAGTGCTAATGGAATAAGGATTATAACCAAATGATTCGATTCCCTTTTATCTCTCATCCCATCAAAAATCGTTCAGTATTCCAATTTTAGAAACAATTATAGCAACTTAAAATTATAAGAGATGTAAATTCGAAAAATAATTCGATCTAAAATACAATTCGGTAGACACATAATTGTTTTAATTCCAAAGTGTTGCAATTATATATTTTTAACTCTTGAGATTCATTATTTATACATAGCTAAAGAACACGGTCATTAGCGGAATAGTGAGATGCCAGCAATCGTATGTATGCATTTGTGACGTCATCAAACAAGTATAAAAAATACTCAGATTCAAACTTTAAATTAAATTGTGACAAAGTTTTTCACATCGAAATATTTATAATTGCAACACTGGTGAAACTTTTAAATTATAAAAAAATGGTAGTATACAATACCATATAGGCAGTGTATTTCAGCCTCGCTTATATACATATGGCACAAAGTCAATTGTAACATTTGTTACGGTAACAATATTATAATACGCAGGACATCGACCATTGAAAGGAGCAAGAAAACAATAATATTTAGTACAAAGTACTCTATTGTTACAATATTTGTTAAAATTGTTCGAAAGCAATACTTTCAAACAAGTATCACTTGAAATATGGTATTCCGCAAGAAAACCCTACAATATGTTTCATTTCAATAAACTTTCGTTTAGGAAATCGTAAATATATTTCACATTTACACAGAGTAAATGTTTAACTAGAACGTATCACTTTACATAGAAATCGTTTTCACCTGAATTTTACTAATGTAATAAAAAAATATACTCACAAAATTAAAATAAAAAGAAAAATAACTATGCACTCTCTGTAACCATAAATGATCGTATCTTAGGCGGAATGTTGTGATGGAATAGCCATTTAGTTTAAAGAATGAATGATTTATAAAAAATAAACATTTACAACAGTTTGTGTTTGCTTCTTTTAGTATTAAAATCTCCTTTGTTGTGTAATATTTGATTGGTTAAAAAAGTACAAAAGCTGTATTTATATCACCAAAAAGTTATTTGCAAGATTAAAAAAATCGAGGTACAAGGACATTGTACAATATAATAGTTTTAACATATTAATTTGAAGGGATTGAATTAAAAAAAGGTTGTGTGAAAGATGTTAATAAAGGAGCATAAATTTTAAGACATTCGAAAACCAGAACCAAAATAAATTATCATTAGGTTTCAAACACACACGGAAATGAGAAACATTACGAGTCAATTTTAAGATGGTCTATTGAATTTACAAATCTCAAAGCAAAAGCTAAATACAAGAATTAAAAAATGTGAAATCGCAATAATAGCGATTGTAGAAAAGTTAAGGAAAATTATAAAAACCTTGGTGACATGAAAACAATAATAATTTGCCATTTTGTAAGACAATTAGCTATTGTTGAAATAATGAATTCCACTGCGTAATAACTGTGTACCTTCATCAGGTTGTCAAAGAGGTAAAAACTGAGAGGAATAATAAGATTAACTGATTTCCATGTTTTGATTATCAAATACAAAAAATTATGATCACATTGTCATGCTTTACATACTCTGAAAAAAAAAAACAGTTTTTATACAGCCGTGTAACCAGAAATATAAAACCACCATATTGAAGAAAAAAATGAAATATTTGTAAACATTACATAGAGATGAATTTTTAAGCGCCTTGAAGCCGGGGTTTTTATATTCTCGGTAAGACTTTATAATTTGTTTCAGATCAAAACCTAAATTTTGTCAAAACATTTCACATTTTACGCTCGTAAATATTAAAGTTCAGAAAAACGGTTATTCTCACATAAGTAATTTGTAATCATAAATTATTACAGCCTTACAAATAAACCTATTGTAAGCAAACATTGGTACAAATTTTGCTTATACTCAGTTTATTCCTAACTTTAACTTTATACCTCGTTTATTTGTAAGGCTCTTAATGTTTGAAATATAGGGTAATGGTAGCTGTGTTTGAATTATGAAGTTTCTATGTCCACAATTCAATTATTTTATAAACTCATAGAAGAAATACTTATGTAATTTAAGATGGATAGTAATAAACAACGAGATCTTGAAACGTAATTTTCACAGGTGTGGTATAATTTATTTAAAATTTTGCATTCATATATTTTTTCAAACATCCTAGTATCAATTTGGCAATAATATATTATGCATATATACATTTATACAAAAATCTACATATTGTATTTGGAACTACAATTTGCTAAATCCAAAACGAATCTATATTATGTAAATAGCAATGTGTATTTATAGAGTAAAATAGTTTTTATTAGATCGTAGAGTTAACTATAGTATGTAACAAGAGCTCGAAGATTTTGTTATATTTTTTACATTATTCGTTTAGAAAGCTATTTTATTGGAGGCATTTTAATGTTTTATATTATTTTTGGAACACAAGTGTACAAACTTTTTAAATATACATTTTTCTAACATAGTGTGAAATATTTTGATTTTTTTTATAATACAGTATTGCTATTGCAAGGCTATTAATATCTATATATCTTGCGCATGCGTATAGCATTCAAATTTACGTCTGCTTTTTAATATTTCAGATCTAAAAATAGCAAGAATCGTAACTGTGGAGTTAGGAATATTGAATAAATATTTTATATTTATCTATATATCAGCATGTCTATATGTAAATAGTTTTTTTATACTATTAGATAATAGTAACTTTGTTTTTAACCACTCGTTCGTAAACCACACATCTATTGCTACATCCGAAAGGCAAGTTTGAGTTGATCGTGCAATTTCTACATCGATGTGTTTTATAATTTAAAAATATATAAAAAAAACTAGTCGAACAATAGCTGCCTTAAATAGAAAAAAAAAATCAGATGCACAAATCAGTCTAAAAAGAGATCGTATGAAAACTAAATATTCTTAATAAGTTCAGAATAGATTTCATTAATTATTTGTAAGAAATCTATTCATCAGTCAAAGAACAATGATATAGAAATTGCACATCAAATTTTCATGTCAATAACTTTTATAGTTAAATGTAAAAACCTTATTTTTAAACAAATTACTTGGTAAAATTATAGGAAAAAATTATATAAATGCTTATTGTGACGATAATGATAGTAAAATTGTGATATGATTGCGCTCGCGTCCCATCTTAAGATGCCACTCAAAGGAAAAACGCACTAATAGCCAATTTATTTGAAACGCGTAGCAAATACTTGAGAAAATACTTTATACCTTATTGCTTTACTATTAAGAGTCAGAACACTATATAACTTGTGATTAGAGCATCACGACATACCGGAAGTGTGTACTTACATAGGAGCAATCTTAAAATAAATTAACTGCCATCACACAAACAAATATCAACTAATAACAAGCGACGCTCCGTAACAACTGCGTGCCAACATTGCACATACACTTTTGTAAAGCTCCACATTTAAAATAATTAAAAAAAATCACATCTCATTAAATATCTTTGGATACAACCAAGTAAAAATAGCGTACAAAAATACAAAAAATATACAAGAGAATATCCATAAGTTGGGGAATAGTTAACTTAGATGCGTCCATAGATCACGGGTCAATGGAAGGAGACGGACTAGACACTTGTGGTACACATTGTAAGGTCCTGTCGCATGCGGCGCTAGAGAGCGCTAGAAGGTTCTAGAAAATTCTAGAATGTTGTAGAAGGCGCTAGAAGGCGTTGTGGTGTGCAACAATGTTGTTGTTGCGACAGCTGAGGGTTGGTCACAGCATGTCGTGTACATGTGCGGTGTCCAGGTTGGTGATGAGGGTCTTGAGGAAGGTCATCTCCTTGCGCGCGTTCTCCAGGATGACGCGCGGGTCCTGCGAGGTGCAGCGCAGGCAGTTGGGCGCGAACACCATCGCCAGGTTGGCGGAGTCCATCTTCGTCTGGCTGACCACCTCCGGCGCCGTGAATTGTTGCAGGAAACTTATTAAGTATGTGAGAACCTGAAAATTAATTCTTATGCAACACGACTAACACACAAAAACTAAATCGCTTTGAAAAATGATTGTCATTAGAAAGCCACATTCTCACTGACTAACATAGAGCAGGGGTGGCGAATATTTATGTTAAAAATTGCCGTTTTTTTAAGAAATGTTTAATGAGCATCGAATAATTTTGACTGCGATTATAACGTTAACTCCATTGTGCACTTACGTCATAATTTTTTTCGCAGTGTATTTATGTTTATTGACCCCTGAAATAGAGAACCCCCAACTTTAGTCCCTTTTCTTTTATGCTATATTTAGTATAAAAAAGGATGGGAAGGGAACATAGATTTGACGATGGAGGGGACGCATAGAAAGGGAAAATATCCTCTTCATGTGTGTCTCCTCCATCGATGGAGAGTAGGCAAGGCATCCGCTGTTGCGAATGTCAGGGCAGCGGTGGCTTCGCCATGTTGGCGGATTCGGGTGGCCGCTCGCTCGTTTGCCACTTTTTGATATAAGCAAGAATATTAAAATATAATATATTACGAGTCTGTTGAGTGCGGGCAGGCGCTGCAGCGCGCGCGCGCACGCCGCGAAGTCGCTGCCCGCGGCCACGCACGCGCCGTACAGCGCGTCCGGGATCAGCGGCTCGTACAGCTCGCGGTACCACAGCTTCAGCAGGCTGGCCGGCGCGTGCGCGTCTGTAATCACAAACATATTTATTTAAAAAAAAGGTAGAAAATAATCGATAATAAGCATAGATCATCTTCATGTTGATAGGTGTATACACCTAAAGATTTTTGTAACTTTAGTCCCTTTTCCTTCCCACCCTTTCTCTCATAAGAATAGGATGGAAAGGGAACGTGGATTTGACACTGGAGGAGACGCAGAAGATAGAAAGAGAAAATATTCTCTTTACATGCGTCTCCTCCTCCGTCGATTCAGGGTAGGCAACGCATCCTCTATTTTTATTATCAGGTAGCCGCTTGCTCGTTTACCATCTTATGATATAAAAAAAATATTTTTTTTTTAAATCATACACAGTGAAAATTTTACATAAAATGTACCATTTTCTACTAATGTCATAAATTCGAATGTTTAGATGAATGGAATGAACATCTATATGTTGGCTACGACCTCAAGGCAGATTTAAAATTTGGCATAGGTTTAGAATATAGTCTTGAAGAACATATTCCACGCACTGCATCATTCTGTTTTTGATACCGTGCTGAAATCTAGTATTTACCAGTCAATGTAGAAGCGTCTGGCAGCTCCCAGTTGTCGATCTTGGCCTTGAGGGCGTTGACCTCGTCGACGTCTGCGGAGACGCGGAAGATGCCCTCCGTGTCGCGGCCGCTCAGCGCCAGCACCTGCTGCGACAGCGCCACCTGCACCCACGGCAGCTGGCGGTGCGGGAAGCGCTCCTTCTGCAGCGACATCACCTCCGACAGCGTGTTGCCGAACATCGACTGACGGAAGATCTGGATCTGAAATTTATTAACAAATTATTTAAATAGAAAATAGAGTAACTACGGTATTGTACTTAGGTACTACAGTCGAATTCAATTGAAACAAGTATTATTTTTACTTAATCTGTGATATTTACATTCAAAGTATAATTAAAGTTAAACATTACCCTAGCTTGGTCTATGTCTTCTGTGCTGGGTTTCCTCGGCTGCCGCTTGCCGCCGAAACCTATCCGTTCCAAACGTTTACACGCCACGCCCGCGTAGTGCGACACTTGTACGTGGATCGGCCATTTGCCAACCTGGAAAAATTTTTGCATTTTAATTCTACTCAAGGTAAAGGATAATGAAGTAATTTAGAAAAATATTTGCAATGTTCCTTTCATTAGTAGTCAATCTTACTAATATAAATGCGAAAAATGTTTGTTAGTCTGTAGCCTAAACGGCTGAACGGGTCTGGATGAAATTTGGCAAATATGTGGAGCAGGCTGGAAGAACACATACAAATTACTTTTGTTTTTGTAATACCACACGGACGGAGTCGTGGGCGAAAGCTAGTCTAATCATAATTTGTATGCATTTATCATGAAAAATTGAAAACTAACATGTATTAAAAATATAAAAACTTTCGCAATATTGGGTAAAAATATGAAACTAACGTCTGTTTGAGGCTTGGATTTGAACATTTTGGGCAGTATATAAGACTTGACAGTGTATTAATAGGAGTGCAAGATACAAGAAATGCCTGACCTCAGGGAAGGCATCAGCAAAGGCGGGGTCCCTGTGGCGGTTGACGTAGTTGGTGAGCGCGGGCTGGAAGGCGGGCGAGGGCGGCACGAAGGCGAGGCAGACGGCCAGCAGCTCCCAGCCGCGCAGCAGCGAGTCGCGCAGCGGGTTCTCCGTCGTCTGCCGGCACAGCTGCACGTACACCTCGTCGCGCAGTCTGTAACACGTTACATTCATTCCTATACATGTAACTAGCTGTTTCCGGCTTCAATCACATGATTGACTTATTGTTGTTGTTTCTTTCTCGCAAACTCCCCCTGAATTAAATATCGATGGGCGAAAGGCTATTTGTTTTAAGCGCCATTCGTTTAATGTTCAAAAAAAAAACATAAAAGCAAATAAATCCTGGAAATAATTTTCACCCGTCGATTTGTAATCTATGGCGTGTCGTAAATGTGGGGCTATTTATTAAAAAAATAAATATTTAAAATTATGCTATGTATGCTGACATTCTACATAACTAAGTAGAGTGTGTATTTACGCTTTATATTACTTTGTATTATACGAATCTGCTTACTTTTCGTTAGTAAATGTGGCATGCAGAATGTCCTGTGCGACGGAGTTGAGCGTCATGCCAGGGCGCGCCTTGCGGTCGCCCATGTATATCTGCACCAGTCGAAACAGGTCGATGGCCGCCTTCTTGTGCGCCTTGTCCCACTCCGCGCCCACCATGGGCGCGCTAATGGACGACGACGTCCACGATAACATGTCCCGAACAGACGCCTAAAGAAATAATCAGATATAAATACTATATACAATTTCATCCACATACTTTTTTTAAGTGATGGTCCTTTGAGTCGGATGAAATTACTGCGTTTAGAACATCGATTAAATGCTAATGCATTTAAGCCTTAAAAAGAGCACAAACCTTTCTCCTGAAAATTCCTTTATTGAAATTAAGATTGTCTTTGGCAAAGATTTCTATGTCTTGTTCTGCGGGCACGTGCGCGTGCGGCGGCGGGTGCGAGCGCACCGGGCTGTACAGCGCGCCGCCCGCCGCGCCCGCAGCGCCGTCCGGCACACTGCCGCCGGGGCCCGCCGCTGTCGCACCACCGCCCAAAGACGATGTCTGACAAAATAATTTAAATTATTAATGATTTACACTTACACATTTTTTGCATTAACGGTGACTATAAATTGTAGTTGCCAATATTGTTGATATTAGCAAAACAAAGAGTAAAAAAAAGTTTTAAAACGTTACAATTTAAGTGTAAAAAAAATTGTAAGTTGAAAGGAATCAATATAAGCTTTTCATTTTTATTTATTATATTTTATTTTATTATAAATTTAACGTAAAACCATTAACAATGAATTATACTCACTCTATGTATACCAGGCGAGGGCTGTCGATCTCTATCGAATCCTACAAACGTGTTGTAGTAAGCGACCCCATGGTTCATATACTCTGCATCGGTGCGGTACGCATGCGGCAGGTACACGCCCGAGCCGTCGTCGTCGTCGGGCGTGCGCGCGCCGCCGTCGGACGACTCGTTGTCGGGCTCGTGACCGGACAACGACCGCGATCGCGACCCGGACCGCGACGACCCTGACGACCCGTCGGACTCCGACCCACCAGTGTAACGACCGCGACCTGCGAACGACATCGATTATTATTAGATTATTATACGGGGTAACCAGAAGTACTACGAGTACCACGAGGAAAGTTCGAAGAAAATATAATTTTAAAAGTACTCACTAGACAACTTAGCTTGCTGTATAATGTAATCTTGTAAAGGTAGCAGATGTTGCATGCCGCGTAAGTCCCAGTTGCAGTACAAGGGGGAACCACCGCCTTCTTCGTCTTCATCCTCGCCATCCATTTGTGTTTCGTCTAATTCCACAGGTTTCTTGTGCCCTGAAAAAAGCAACTTTTGACTAACACTCTTTCCTTATTGTGCAGATTATAAATTGTATTCCAATAATGCAACTTACGTCGTGACTTGGTCCTATCCCTGGTCGCGTTCACTTTCTCCGTCCGTTCGAAACGTTGATTGTGCTTTTGTACATTGGGTTCTGTTAGCGGGGGTTCGAGATTCACACATTTCAGTTTGTAGTTAACTGGAAAAAAACACCATTCATACATATTCTTATAGATTTGTATTTAACCCTGTGTGTATGTGTTGTGTCCACCGACCTGCGGCGATGTTGTCCTGCTCGTTGGCGGAGGAGAGCCGCATGAAGTTGTGTTCATGCGCGCGCTTGCCGCTGCCACTGGAGGAGGTCTTGCTGCCCGCGTACCGCTCGCGCTCCGGCTCCGCCTGCTGACGCCTGCTTCACTCGAAATATTTACCATTTCAAACAAAACGATATTTTTAAATTAATTAAGAATTCGATTAAAAATGTACAAACCTTGTAAACTCCCTAGGCTGATGCCAGTTGGAGACGGAATTGTGGCGCAGGTCGAGGCTGGTCTGTCTGAAAGGTTTGTCCACGCTGTACACCGCCTGCTTCTCAGGGTACCGCTCCATGCGGTCCAGCTCTGCCAGCCGATCCTTGTCTAAGTGCCTGCAAATAAATTTAATATACCCGATTAAGTTGGCACGTAAGGTGAAAGAGTACTCTTATGCTCGACGTGACAACTTAAAAGTGTACAAATAACAGTACACTCATATATTTGTCGTTGTCACAGCATTTTTAATTACATTTACAGATTCATAAGACAGCCATAGAAATTATTTTTGTTGATTATTCTGAGCGCAATTGCAACCCGCTATAAAATATCTAAAAGGGATACGCAAATGCTGCATAGCGGTATGGTACGTGATACGAGTTTTTATTCAAATCATATTAGTTATGCCAGATGGTTGCAAAATTAAACGTTATGAATCTAACGAGTAGTTCAATGACATTTATTTATTAATCGAAAAAGTCATCGCTAAATTCCTTGAAAAACTTCCATGACCTATTCGAAAGTACCAGGCGCCCATAAATGGATGAATGCACATTACATATTTGTTATCTCTAAATATCTGTATAGAAAAAAACATAGATAGCAATATACATTTGTACATGCATTGGCAGTGAAAACTCACTAATATTGTGCAATTCTGTATTATTTCGTGTCAAACTCATTCAAAAGTACCAGGAGTGCATTAATATCGAGGTATTGACCTGTCTGAGAAGCGTTCCCTCGCGTGTCGCGACAGCTGGTGCGGGCGCTCCAGGCTGTGCATGAGCCGCGCGCCCGCCGCCTCCGTCGCTAGAGATATCGACGACACCAGCGACGGCCGCGCTGCCGTCGGCTAAAATAAACATTTAAACTAAATAAATACAAGGAATTTAGTAGTTCTTGACCATTGTGAGAAAGAGAACAATACTTAAACTACTGCTCCCCGAAGAGTAGATTAATTTACTTTTTTTAGCCTTCATCGTACTTCGTACTAATCATACCAACATTATAAATGCGAAAGTTTAGATGAATTGATGGATGGATGTTTGTTAGAGTTTATGGCCTAAATGGCTGAACGGATTTTGATGAAATTTGGTACAAGACTTCCAGACTTGGAAGAACACAAATGCTACTCACTTTGGTTTATTTTAATTTCACGCGAAGGGAGTCGCGGGCGAAAGCTGTCAGCTATATTATTTTTTTTTTTTCGTTTCATTAGTCTTCTATTTATGTGATAATTAAAAATCGACATTTAAGTAAAAAAATAACATTAACTAACTAAAGGTAGCAGTGAATATACCTGTAAGAAGGGTGTAGGTTGTGGTTTTTGCAACGGGCTGCTAGGACTTTGAGGGGAAGCAGAATCGCACGAGGAACCGCCAGCAGATTGTTGTTTAAGCTGTTGGTTCAAATCAAAATGTAAAAATTAACAACTGCTGCTAAATCTAATATTTACAATAAAAAAGGGTTATAATTAAAAAATGATCTTGCGAAGTACAAAAAGGGTTACTGTAGTAATTACAAACATTGTAAAAATACATTTGACTTTTCCAAATGAGGGTACAACTAGCATGCTATATTTTAATAAAGCATGCGATTTTAGGATGTGAATAACATCAATATAAATAATAGTATATAACAATGTTTTACCTTACGTCTAGTCAATGGCGTACTCTCTACAGACTTGAAATACTTTTCATGCATTGAGTCATCAGAAGTATCTTTCCTAGGAGATATGAAGCTGCCGCTACGATTTAGACCTGTAATTAAACATAGAAAAATACATTTTTTTTACCTTTTACTATTAAAAGGTGCCACCTTTGACTAAACTATCGCAGAACAGTTGTGCGATTGTCGATTATTTCGCAGAAAACTCAACTGACAATTTTCACAATTCCTCCTGACAGGAACTCAACAACTCCATTTAAGCTCACAGGAATCAAAGCACCATTAAAAAGTTGTGCGATAATTCAATCAAAGGCGCGCTCTAAATAGTATCATTTTTCAATAAACCCAGTTTTTACCGACCTGAGTGTGGTGACCATTTGTCTGTATCGTGGGGCTGCGCTGCGCCGGTCCTCTTCCTTAGCTGCGGCGTGCACACCGGCACGCTGCACGCCACCGCGCTTAGCTCCTACAATGTTACATTCAACTAATGACAAAATACGTTTAAAATGTTAGGATAACATAAATCTGACGTACTAAGATATTAGAAGAATCTGTTTATCAGTGCAGACGTAAAGGACGTAAGCGACCGCACGGTGCTTTGGACGGAAACGGTCGCCACACGTCTGGGAATTACACTCTCTAAAATTCCCAACTTCCCCAAGCTAGTAAAAGACGCCCAAGACGGGTTCGGTTACAAAAAATCTTTCATCAATGAGCAATTGAGAAATTATGTTGTTTATGTTAAGAATAGATTAGAAAATGTGCCAGAACTGAAATTTAACGTACTGTCCGCCCTACATACTGAGTTACTGATAAGATCTTTTATCTTTTCATCCTCCGTTATAAACTTAATTGTACACGATACCTAGAGACGATGTAAGTTATCAGACGCGAGAACAATGCTCTTAGTGATGTAATACTTTATCACAAGTTAATATTCTTTGAGTATAAAAATAAAGATGACAACTAGTTATTACAATTATCACAACAATAAACGATACATACAAAGGAATAAAGTGGTCGTAATTAACTGCCGTTACTTCAATTTCCCGCAAATTAATCTACATCCAGCGTAATTCGCTGTTTATCCGTTAACGATTGTTTCTTTTTAAAAAATCAGTAATACATGCTTGTACATATTTTTAAATTAGACGCTTTAAAATACATAATATAGTACATTTATATTTTAAATTCTAAAGTGATTAAAGTCCAACATATAAATGTAAATAAGACATTTTTATTTCCTATCCTCAGAATCATTTCTAAATATTATAACTAATAAACACCATTCTGTTATTATCGATTGTAAACAGATCGACTTCCAATATTGAATCATTACCATTTCCTTGAAATGTCAATTCATATGATAAGAAAGAGAAATTGCTTCGCACTTCACGCCTTCTGTACTATTTATTACGACTATAATATGAATACAAGACACACAATGACCTTTTCAACCTTTCGTCGGCACTTACGCATATTAAGCATAAAATTGGACCAACGAAATTTGGGTCGAGCGATAGTCATTATCGTTTCTGCATTGTCTATTACAGGATGTTGCAATAGAGCGCTGCATACGATTAGCGCGGCCTCGGAAGTCAGGAAATAACACAAGAGGATGGACAGCCAAAAGGGATCTTTTATTGTGAAACTTTAACATTTTTAATTCCTTTCAGAAATTATTTTTTAATATAACATTAGATCTGATTTCAATCTATAATGAAACTTCTCTACAAAATAGAGACTTTTGAATCATAATAGTTGAAACTGCCTTCAAAGTACAATAATGTTATTTTATGGAATTGTACTTTAATAGCACTCATTCCGCCATTCCTAAGGGGAATGTCATTGTTTTAAAAATACTTGGTTTCGCCCGCGATTCCGTTCACGTAGAATAAAAAAAAGTATCGTATATGTTATTCCAGACTGTCCTTTACATCTATGCTAAATTTCATGGAGATCCATCCATCCATAGCAACATTGAAAAAATGTTTACCTGTTTTCTTCTTTGTTGTGCGCTGCTAATACTGCTGTCCGATGAACGACCTGAATCAGTGTGACGACAGAGTCCCGTCGAGCCATCTTCACTCAGTCTCCCGCGACGACTTTCTCCGCTATTTCTATATTATAATCAATGTTTATTCTCAAATTAACATTAAACAATCCATAGTATGAAGGAAGTAAAGACTAGAGTAGTATTCGTAATTATTGCTCTTTTTTTACAGTAATTTGTTTAATTTAAAAACAAAAATGAAAGGTATAAATGACCTAATAGTAAAAAATGAACATAACATGCTCTCAAACAACTTGCAATTACTTTAAACATTAAGTTGTTGATATTATTTAAAGCTTAGGCTTTATTATACCAACCAGTATCATTAGTAAAAAAAAATTTACACATTTATACTTCTTAATTTGATTATGTGCAAGAATGTGTATATTATCATAGTGGCCAGTTACCTGTGATGATAATGTGACCTCCTTGTCCGGACGGGACTGGTCTGTGTTATTGTAATATTCTTAGCATTGCTTGGTGAGAGCTTACTCACACTGGCTGCCATACTGTTGCCGTTGCTTGTTATTGGTTCAAGCAAGGATGGAACCTTTAAAAAGATGATTATTTAACATTTATTATTTACATCAATACAATAATATGTAACTTCAATAGCAGTTATTGGGAAATATACTTATTTAGTTGGTTAGTAATAAAATCCACTTATGTAATACAATAATGTATTTATTTGCATAATGAAAGTGTGACAATTTTGGTTGTTGTATAAATATTAATTTTTAATTCATTATAACAAATGTATAAATTACCTGTGGTGCTGCCTGATTAGTTTGAGTGGATGTCTCTCTCCTTTTTTGTGGATCTGTATTTTGTTTCAGAGTTTGTAATTTAGCTAGTGGAATAATATCACAGTCTGTGGGTCTATGCCATACAGTGGTCTAAAAATAAGTTATATAACAATGTTAAATAATAGAACATATTAAAATTTAAAAATACATTTTATGGATGTTTCATGTATGTTGACACTCACCTGAGTGGTTGCATTGTAATAATAAAATCTATGGGTATTAATATCAAATAATTCCCACCACTGGGAAGAATCTGTTCTTTTCACTTTTACACCCTGTAAAATACAAACTTTGTTAAATAAACTACACAAGTTCATTATTCAATTTCATGAATCATTAAGGAAATTTTAAAGTTATAGAGACCCAATAAAAATTTTTAGTTTTTTAAAAAAATAGGTTTTAGGTATTAAAAACAATACCTAAAAATCTAATATAGACATCACTACCTTTGCAAGACTTACAATTCCCACGGCTTATTAACAACTATTTACAATTTATATGACTTATAAATTGGGGATATCGTAAAACATCTATAATGACAAACTTTACTTGTGAAATAAATCCTACAAAAATTACGGTTTTAATAATTGGCCTACATATACACCTGGTATAACTACAGCTAACTGATTAAATTAAACGATTTTCTAATATCATATTAGTTTAATAAAATATTACCTCAGGAGGGTCCCAAACACATTCACCAGTAGTTAGGTTAGCATACATATGCTCCTTTGTCTTGGGCTCGATAATTTCCACCCATTCGACCCTAGAAAAAAGCATTTTCAAAACTTTTATATATTCTCCAAGACACTTTTACCCGCAGGAACAAGTAACTTCGGGGCGTGACATTAGCGATTTCCGTATACTTTATTGATTTTGCAACTTTCATCTGTTATCGAAACCAATTTACTGTTGTTCTATGAAAAGTTTCACACCAAAAAATTACCTTTCTGAAGACATTTTCACAAAAAATGTAACAACCGCTTTAACGTTTACTTATTCATTGTTAACAAATTATTTTACGCTAAATTACAAAAGACAGTAACGAGAAATCATCCATATTGAGTGTTTACTTCATTTCACAGACAACATAAAAATCTTTTCCCTAAGTTTCTAACCACAGATCACAAATCAGTTTAGTAGTTTCTAGTGGCAGTTTAAAAAGAGTAATAGGTTTCCTACGAGGTGCGAGAAACTGAAATTAATGTTCGGTATAGAAAGAATTTGGTTTGAACTTCCGAATTAGATTAAAATAGTTTTTAACATTAAGGTATGCCTTGGTTTTCATTTGTTTGGCTTGTTGCTCTTACAACTTGTTCTTTGTTATTGATGAGACCTATTTTCCAACTTGCTCTTTGTTGGTTGGTGAGTTTGAAGTTTGAATTTGAAGTTTTAAAGTTGATTGCTTTTCTTTTGTAGTTCAAGATTACTAAAAAGCAATTTCTTTCACACTAAAACTTTTATTTTAGAAGTAAAGAAATATTTTTAATCAAAATATAGTAAGTACGGATCTTATAAATCAAATATTGAGTTGAAATAAACATCAAAAATCTATCCCAATGTTTCGAATTCTGACTATTAACCTTGTAAAATGCCGGCACATCTTAACTGCTGATTCATTTCTTAACAAATATAGCAAGAGTCTTACTGGAATTGGTCCACTTCAGTCTAAACCTGTACATCCGGCAATAGTAGTTAATGGTCAGTACCGAGTCTGATAGCAGTCAAATTGAGAAATCTATTTTGACTTTCTAATCGCGTCTAACCTCTTTTAACCTTTGTTTTTCGTTTTAGCAATGGAAGACAAATCAAATTTCTTGTTGCCAAATAATCAAAGATTTGTGGAACTGGATAGTTCACAAGCATTTAATAATTTGACAAATAAGGAAAAACTTTATGCTCACTATCTGAGTCATGTAAGTAATTTATACAAGTTACAAAGTTGTTTTATAAAATACTTATAATTTAATGTTGATTACATTATGTACATTTTTTCAACTAGGCTGCATGGAATGGTGGACTCATAGTATTACTTCAAACTAGTCCAGAGTCACCGAAGATCTTTTCACTCTTGCATAGAATCTTCCTTGGAGAGCCATTGGAGAATCTTAAAGAATCTGCATTAAAGGCGGGAGTGTCTGAAGATGATTTCCAAGTAAGTAAGCCACTGATATTGTATACAAAAATAATATATTTACAAAAATAAATGCTGATTTCTTATGTGATTACCTTGGGTTTTAACATTGTAATACATTTATGAAATCTGTAAATTCTAGATTGTAGATTAAAAAAAAAAACATTTTTCCTATGATAAATAAATACAAGCAAAATAGTCAATGTTGTAGTTGATAGGTTTACCACATCCTGTTAGATAAATGTTTCCACTCTATAACTACTTGTCTAGTTTATCATTTATGATAACTAGAACTCAAATTAAATGTGTTGGTTTATTCCATCAGTAAGTTGATATTATATGATGTTAAATTATTAATAGAAATATATTTATAGAAATAGAACTAGTTCTACAAAGAATAGTTTTTACTAATATTATAGAGAGAATAGAAGATTGTTAGGCTAAAATTATAAACTTTTACACCATTAAAAAGCTATTTTATCACTGAGCAACATGGCTATATTTTAAAATTTCACATGGACAAAGTCACAAATAGCAGCTAGTCTGTTTTAAATTCATACAACTTACCGCATATAAGTTGTCCTAATGATACATGTGTTTACAGGCATTCCTGGTATATGCTGGTGGCTTGTTTGCCAATAGTGGTAACTACAAGGGATTCGGTGACACAAAATTCATTCCAAATCTTTCTAAAGATGCATTTGAACTCATTGTAAAATCATCAAAAGCATATGAAAATGACAATACTCATATAACAAAGTTATGGCAAAAAGTTCAAAGTGCTATGTATAGCCTGACTCCAAGACTGACTAGTTTAGGTTTGGCTAGTAAGGTAATATAGGATTAAACTAAATAATATCAATAAAAGTCATGTTTTTAATATTATAAAGTCATTGTTTTAAAACTACTATTAAAAAAAAATATTTTACTTATACAAGTCAGTCTTACAATTAACTAAGCTTCTACATTCTAGGGAGTAACAACATATTTCTCTAGCAACTGCACTGAAGAGGATTCTAATTTGGTTAATGATTGGATGAAAACTAAACGAATTGAAGCCTACATTTGTCGGACATTTAAAACAACTGCTGATGATGGATGTAAGTTACTAACAACAGATTACTGTAACAACATTTTTATGTATACCACCATCTTGAGACTATACCTATTTACTTACTTTATACTTATTTTATAGAAATTTTGACAACTGTTTGTAAGTGATACTTAGAGCAGGTGCTCATCTTTAACTAAACTATAACTTTTGTGCGATAGTCAATTGTGTGGCAGCCAATTTAATAGTTTAGTAGCACAACTAAAAGTCGAGGACAAAGTGCATCTCCCCACCTACTCACACACTCTACCTCCTATAAGCTCATAGGAATTAAAGGGAGACTAAACAATTGTGCGATAATTTAATTTCCGATGTGCGCACACTCTTACAAAATATTTAAAATTCGGTTCAGTGTTCATTTTGTATTAACTTAGGATAGATATTTGAAAACCTTGTATTAGTCATCTGAAGTAAATAATTATATATATCAGTTAGAATCTATTTAACATGTATAGTGCCATCAATGCTGGCAGCATTTTAATAAAAAAAAAATGTTACCATGGAACATGTCAATATTAAATTAATTGCGTTTTTACCTTTCCAGTACCTTTATACACTATACATTTAGCAAGTGTGGAATCATCTCCCAAACCAATGCTGACAATGGACAAGGAATTATACAAGAATGCATACTTCCAAGTGACCCGCGGAGACTATTCACCGCTACTGAAGCTTGCCAGTGAAAACCTCACCAAAGCTCAGGAATACGCAGCTAACGATAATGAGAAAAACATGCTCAAGCACTATGTCAATAGTTTTAATGAAGGAGATTTAAATGAACATAAGGAAGGCAGCAGGTTTTGGATCAAAGATAAAGGACCTATCATTGAAACGTAAGTTTAACTTGTTAAGTGCATACCACTTAAGTACTTAAAAATTACTAACTGTTGCCCGCGATTCCGCCTGCGCGAAGTTAAAAAAAATAAACTATGTAAATAGCTTACATTCATAGTATAGTAAATAGCATCTGGAAGGTAATGACATAGAATTTGTTAATTATTAATAATCTGAAGTTATGTGGTTTGTAATTTTTTCTTTCATTGTTTTTTTTGTAGGTATCAAGGTTTTATTGAGACATACCGTGACCCGAGTGGCCAGAGAGGAGAATTCGAGGGCTTTGTTGCCATGGTGAATAAGGAGATGTCAAAGAAGTTTGGACGCTTGGTGGATGGAGCCGAGGGCTTCATTAAGCTGCTGCCCTGGGGCCAGGATCTGGAGAAAGACACTTTCCTCAGGCCTGACTTCACCAGCCTCGATGTGCTGACATTCTCCGGCAGTGGCATACCAGCTGGCATCAACATTCCGAATTGTAAGAACATGTTGTCCAACCATATTAACTGCACTAGATAAGTAATAGTATAAATTTAAATTTTGCATCTGGTAATACTAATTAAAAGTAAAAATATTCCGTTACAAATAGACTTGGTTATTTTTTCCTTGTTTATCATTAGATGACGAAATCCGTCAGAACGAAGGCTTCAAGAACGTGTCGCTCGGTAACGTGATCCCCGCCGCTTACAAGGAGTCCGTCATACCATTCCTCTCCGAACAAGATAAGGCATTGCTCGATAAATACAGAGTCGCTTCCTTTGAGGTATGTAGAGTATTCAAATATCATATTAACATATTTAAGAACCATTTTTAGACTATTTATTTGAATTAATGCCTAACATATGTAATTTATAACTTTCAGGTGCAAGTGGGTCTACACGAGCTGTTGGGTCACGGGAGCGGAAAGTTATTGCGCCAGAACGCTGATGGAACATTTAATTTCGACAAGGAGAAGGTCAAGAATCCTCTAACAGGTATTTTAAAAAAAATCATTAAAATATCTCGGAGGCTCAAGGTCATTCTCCCTAATCCCGCTAAATTCTACACAATGTCCTTCTTCCGATTCCCGCTAAATTCTAAATTTTGTTCTGCGTAGCAACTCGCACGTTATTTCGTGCCGACAAAATATCTGAAAATGATATTATGATATTTACTTGAAATTATTTTTTTTTAGGAAAAGAGATCGAGACATGGTATAGTGAGGGCGAGACGTACGACAGCAAGTTCACGACGCTGGGCTCCGCGTTCGAGGAATGCCGCGCTGAGGCTGTCGGACTCTACCTCTCCGTGCTGCCGGAGATCGTCAAGTATGATATACTAGCTACTCGCAACTTCGCCCCCGTCTAATTAAAAAAATAATAGAAAATGTGGCTTATTAAACGTAGCTTTTTAATGGTGAAAGATTTTTATAAATGGGACCAAAAGTTTTTGAGTTATTTCAATACATACAAAAATACAAATCTTTCCTCTTTAAAATATTAGCAATCTTCGTAAAAATCAACTACCTAACTGTGAAGGATCTCACTGAAGGGCAAGAACTTTATATCCTTCACATCAAAATCGCTAGATGGCGCTTTCACTAAACTTAGGTCCGTCATAAATGTATTGTTTTGTTCAGGATCTTCGGGTACGAGGGCCAAGAAGCGGAGGATGTGACATACGTGAACTGGCTCAGCCTGCTGTGGAACGGCGTCGCCAAGGCCACCGAGATGTACCAGCCCTCCACAGACACCTGGCTGCAGGTAAACACCAACATCGCTCTTGTTTCTTATCAACTCGTTCCTTAGATCGTCCTATTTTACTTTATAAAACGTTTCTTAAATCTCATTTATTTTACACATAATTTACATAAACTCATGTTCGGGTTTCTCCCGTTAGACCAATGCCACCGAATCGTCCTATTGGATTTTTTCCATAGGGGCCATTGATCATACTGATTCGTTCAGTTAAATTTGCTTATAGTTTATAATGTGTTGGGGCACTGACTGTAGGTAAATTCGAAAAAAAAAAACTTCTTAGATTTAAATACGAATGTATTGTGTTAAATAGTTTTGCTAAGCCGCGTCGCTGCCCGGAGTTACAGTGCCGGTTTGCTACAACGCCATCTGTTGGCTTCTTTTGTTACCGCTAGTACAGCTGTGGTTTCATAGAGGGCGCTGTTAACAATATGCCTATTATATTAAAGACTAAGTTCACAATTTATCAATGACAGCAGATATTCTTTAAAAGTGGTTGATCGTGAATGTTTTCAGGCACACGCACGGGCGCGCTTCGTGCTAATGCGTCTGCTGCAGCTGGAGGGCGAAGGCCTACTGACGGTGACGGAGCCCGCGCGCGGACAGGACCTACTGCTAACACTCGACAGGCACCGCATCGCCACCGACGGCAAGAGGATCATCGGTGATTATACTATTATTCATCACTAGCTATAATAGAGCCTACGTTACTCACTGATAGCTTTTTCATGGTGTAAGAATTTTTAAAATCGGCCCTGCAGTTTTTGAGTTATTTAAATACAAACGCAAAAATAAATCTTTCCTCTTTGTCGTAAGTGTAGGGTAATATTTAAAAAAAAATCAGTGCTAGCTGATATCCTGCATAACAAAGATGTGTGTCTGCATTTTATTATATTAGTATAGATTAAGAGGCACTTGAAGGTTGATAATAAATGTCGCAGGCGAGTTCCTGGTGAAGCTGCAGACGCTGAAGGCGACGGGCGACGCGGCGGCGGCGGAGCAGCTGTTCGCGCGCTACAGCCGGCTGGAGGGCGAGTGGGCGCGCTGGCGGGACATCGTGCTGCTGCACAAGCAGCCGCGGAACATCTTCGTGCAGCCCAACACGATACTCAAAGGTAACCTCAACTTATAAGATTTATTCAATAAATTGTATCATCATGGTGTTTACCAAAATGATAGATTATCCGGCTCAAAGGACCATAATGTACTTCTATATATAGGCAAGATAAGTAGCAATTTTTTTTTGACTGATTACGATAACTTTTTATATTTTCTTAAGTGATTTTTTTGTAATTGTATTGTCTTGTGGCCTATAATTTTCTATTTTACTAAAGTATGCGTTATTTTTTCACAATAGATAAGGAGGTGGAACTAAAGCGGTACCCGGCGAGTGCGCAGGGCATGGTGTCGTCGTGGGTGGAGCGCTTCCCCGACACCAACGTGGACGACCTCCTTGAACAACTCGCAGACGCACAAGCCAAGTACTTTGAGGATCTGGAACCTCTCGCTGCCGCTTGAATATATTTTCTTCAATGAATTTTGATTATTGGTATAGAAAATAAATTATATTTCTACACGAAATGTTTTTTTTTTTCATGATCAAGTTATGAAAATTATTTTGAAATATCCCAGGTAACAGTTTATTTAAAATTACACCATAAATACTTCTATTTTGTCTTAGGAAACCAAAGATAGCGAACAAAATGTATTCACCGGTACTTTCTCTGAAAGGTACTGTCAGTTGTTATAAAACATTTTTTTTATGTTAACATTGACGTGTTGTTTTGAGGATCTAATAGGTAGTGTTAATAAGATCATGTGAAAAATGTCTCAACCGAACTTTGCATATTCTATATATATTATTTGAATAACAAGGTTTGCTTGTATTAAAGGATAAAAATAAAAGCCAAAATAGCATTTCAACTATATGATTTATTCACATTCAATACAAAACGCGTGTGATAGTAATTTTAATATTTATCTTCAAATCACAGTATCGCTCGACCATGACAAACGGTACAAATATTAACAATCACCACACACTAATAAATAGACTCAATCTAATAAAAAAAAGTAATAAATAGATTCGATATGAAAAATAATGGAGGTGGCGCAAAATGTCTATGTCTGTCAACGCCCGTCCTATAGCCTAGCTGACCACTGTCCACTACAGAGAGGTGAATATGGCAACGATTGCAAACAATTCCTTTATATAGTGTTTAAAAATTACAATTAAAATATAAATTACTTTTGAAAGGAAACACAAAACTTTCGTTGATATAGTTCATACCTACAAATTCTTTAACATATTCTATAAATACAAATTATATTCTAAGAAAATCTTCAACTAAGCACCATTCTATTCGATAACTGTTTCGTGACTTAGCTTTCAATACTTTCATGTTTTGTTAATATAACTTAAATTGACTTCGGCAGCATACAAAGTCAACTACGACAGCTAAAGTTCAAAATAACCAGCGTTATTTGTGCAAACACACAAAAATCGTGTCGCCCTCTTCTAATAATAAAAAGTTTTATATAAAATCCAGTCGCTTATGTCGTATAAAGGCACGTAAGATGTGTTTCATATAACCTTTTCCTTAAAAAAAAGTTAATCGCAAAACATTTCCAACTTTCATTGATAATTAACTCTAGTCAATTCGATTTCAAAAAGCACATACTGTTACTGCCTTATCAATGCAATTCCTCGCTTATCTTAAAATAGAAAAGTTATTTCACGCCTTATCTTAACATGTAATTCAGACACTTCATTTACGTTGCAATTACATTATTATAGACATTCTTGACTAAGTTAAAATCAATTCCCAAATTAAAGTTACACCTTTGAGTATTTTGCGTCTTAACTTATATTGCGAAATGCATACTACAGCTCAGTGGCAAGAACTAAAATCAAATATTCAAACAGCAAGAAGCAATTTATATGGTAGACTGTGATCGACTAATTATAATTCTAAAATGAATAAATAAATTATGTGTAAAGTTTGTTGATAATGCTAACGTTTAATCACAAACGATCGATGTTGAATCTCGCAGACCGCTCAGTAGCGCCTCTCAGTCAGTTTTCTCAGAGCGTTCTGCACAGTCGCCTTCGCTTTTAGATGAGACATTGGATCTGAAAATGCGTAACATTCAAATGACTACGAGCACCGCCGAGTCTCAAATTGTTTCTATTATAGTGCCCAATGAAATAATTGTTACAATCTCTATTGAATCTTTTCGAGCGAATATTAAATAATTCGATTACTGTGTAAACTGTGAATGATGGGTCTATACATTACGATCTACTTACATAATATTTTACATTTAAGTTTTTCCGTATATTATCTATACATTATAAAACCTTTAATGTATTAGTGCAAGTTTTTATTCAAAAGCATGAAGCGTGCAAAGAGAAAAATCTTGTAATTTCGGGAAAGTTATTTGAATTATTTACGTAACATGTATTATGCGAAGTATACACACCTTGGCAGTGAATCCTCAGAGTCGGCTTTCCTCGTCACGCTGATTGAGATCTTTCTATTCCTTATTTTCTCAAGTATGTTTTCTGGGCTCGGTTCCTTTTCGCTTTCTTTTAATATAATAGCGGAATTCCTCGTCCTTTTCGGTCTGTACGTAGCGTAGTTCCCAGGAGTGTACAAAGAATTAGTCCTACTGTATTTCACAGGGTCTCTCAGGTGACTCAAGCCGTGGTCCTCGTTACCATCACAATTTTCGAGGAGAGATTTGGTTCGTGAGTACCTGTGACCGCCGTATGTCCCTGGTTGATCGTAATCTAGGTAACTCCTGCCGCTGGAATACTTCCTCAAGTCATTCCGGTCCAGTGACCTGTATGTGTCAATTTTGTCATTGATACTATCGTATCTCAAACCCCGGTTACTTGGAAGATCAGTGAGAAGGGATCTGTACCGGTCGGTGGACGGTGACAAGTCTGACGCGATGGAGTAGCCGGGTGACAAGTCGTAGTTGATAGGAGACGAGGGAGAGACGTCCAGTTTAGTCTCCGCGGGCTGGGAGTGCAGCCGCGCCACAGGATCATATTCAGTGGCGCCGGGGCCCACTAAACTACTTTTCCGTCTTTGCTTTTTTTCATTGAATCTCGAATAAAAACTTTTTCTTCGAATTCTATCAACGATGTCTTCCTTTTCGGGACTAATGGAATCCTTGTTGCGGATAAGTCTAAGAGCCGAGTTTCCAGTAAATGTTTCGGAAAATTTATCTGCTCCTTTTATTTCTGCACTATGTTCAGATTTAACATCGGAATTAGAATAGATCGACCTGCTTCTCGAGCGACTGCGAGATTGTATGTCGTTTGCGTCATTGCTGTCGAGTATTATTTGGCTTTTTTCTACTATATTTTTCTTTTCGTTTTCTTTATCAGTCAGTGATACATTCATAATTTGCGGTTCTATCACAGGATTTGTAGGAACTATTTTTTTTACTCTTGGCAATTTGGAGAAATCTAATTTTAACGTATTTCTAACACCTTTGGGTTCACGATCTTTCTTAAGTACTGGCTGCTCGTCTGTTTCTAATGAGATAACGGAAACACTGTCACTTGCCGATTTATTATATTTATTTTTACGTCCTAAGCCATTTAACAATAATGAGGTTGGCCTTTTTGGTTTATCTTTCTCGTTCTCTAAGTTCGTTTCGGTATTAGTATCGAATTTGTTACTTTTACTATTGCTCATTATAGGATCTTCACTCGCACAATTTTCGATAACAGACTTTGGACTTTTTTCTTTTGATTCAAATTTCTTAAAGAGTCCTAAAACTTTGGAAACAGTAGTTTTATTTTGAGGAACATTTTGACTATCTAAAGCGGCAACGTCTGTAAGAGTGACGGCTCTTTTGATAAGATTTGATTCGGTGGGAGGATCCGTTTCTACGGGAACAGATTGTTCTCGTTGCAATCTGTTTAATTTGGAACACGCTTTTTTCAGTTCTTTTGATGCTATACTGCTTTGAGATGATTTCTCTGGGGAATTCGATTTTGACGACGCTAATTTTTCTAATTTATGCCCTATGGATTGTAAAACAGACTTCTTTTTGACAGCTGTAGCTTTGTTATCTTCGTTACTTTTTTCTTTTACTTTCTTTACCACTTTTTTCTTATCAGTTGAATTTGTACCATCGATACTTTCTTGGTTACTAATTACGTCAGTCTTTGATTTTGATGAAACTTTTTTAATAACTTTCTTTTTAACGGTTTTTTTATTAGTATCACTTTCGGATTTTTTAATTTCTACGACTTTATTGTCTTCTACTACAGATCCATTTAGTGTGGCATTATCAACGATTGTACCGTTTCCAGTGTGAGTATTGTGTAGACTTTTCGTATCGGTATCCTCATTGATTATTTTATATTTTTTTAACACAAGTGCGGGCGTGGAAGTTTCTTGTTTAAACTCCGTTTTTTCTTCTGTTAAATCATTATTCTTTGTTAATGTTTCCGATTTCGTAGTTAGACTTTTTTTCTTGGGCAACGTAAAGTTAAAGCTTACCTCCACGTCACTTTTGGTGTCGTTCTTATTATGTTCGTCTTTTGAAGTTAAATCTTTCTTTTTCATTTCATTTTTATTGGAATTGATTTTTTCTGGTGATGGTGTGGTAGCGGGATAACTCTTTGGGCGTATAAGTTTTGATTCTCTTTTAGATTTCCTTTCTTCGATTTCCCGATCTATTGATTCTATTGTTTCCTGTGCTCCAGTTTTGCCTGTTTCTTCTAAAGAATTAAAACTTTTAACTGGATAGCTCTTAGGTCTTTTCATCTTAGATTCTTTGTTTTGAAGTTTCTCTTCTGTCAAACTACTTTTACGCAAGTCGTTCTTAATATTTTTCTTTGCGTCTGTTATCGTCAATGAAGTGTCTAAATTAGTTTCTTTGATATTATCTAAAATTGGGAAAAATGGCGTAGTAGATCTGCTGCGTTCTCTACTTAATAAATTACCTACTGGCGATAAGCATTTACGAAGATAAGCAGATTCATCTTTATTCAAAATTGACGTTTCATTACATTCCACTGGGCTTTTTGGGGAATCCAATGACTTGTTCTTCTTTTCTCGTATTTCTTTTAGAATTTTCTGTGTTTCTAATTCTTTTTCCTTTTTGTGTTTTGCATAAAGACTATCGTCAGGGGGAGTGTCATAAAAGTCAGACCTGAGGAATCTTGAAATACGTTTTCTAGGTTGATCTCCCGGGAGCCTCATCGAGTGACGCCTAAAACCTAAGCCGGACGTATTACCCAAAGACGATGTACCGTATGCGGCGATGTAACTCGGTTCTGATATTATACTTCCCGAATCAGATGTGTACGATTCGTCCAAAGAAAAATGTCGTTCTGGAATTAAATATTTGCTAAGAAGTGGCCGATCCTGGGAGTTACGAATACTACTGGCTCTGGATGTAGAGGGCTCCTTTCCAACATTTTTCGCTGCAAAATCATACCCTATCGAATCTGCGATAGAAACAGGTGATGTGGAGTCGCGAGACGTCACCGAGCCTCGCTTGAGACGCGGTAGCGTACAAAACTGGGCCAAGTGCGAAGACGTAGCTAAATCCATGTCGTCATTTTTATTGATACTTTCTATTTTTTCGTTTTGTGCAATGAGATCGTCAACTCTCTTGGGATCGTTTTTCGGTGATTGAGGGGCGGTTCTATCGATATTCTGCTCCGGTGTATTGTCTTTAGAGGTATCATCATCGATGGATTTAACGGAATGTCCCCGCAGGTAGCGACGTGGGACGCCTTTAATGTCACCATCATCGCGGATTTGATCGCTAATGTTATTTTCTTCGAGGTCCAACTTGGTATCCGGTTCGTGTGTGGGTGCGGGTGGTTGTTTGTCGTGGAGGGGTGCGAGTCGGTCGAGGACGTCGGAGTTTGTCGGTTCGCTGTACTTGGAGGCGGAGTGGCTGCGGTGCGCGCGGTGGCGGGGCGGCGCGGCGGCGGCTGCGGCGGGCGACGCGGCGTGCAGCGAGAGCGTGCGGCGCAGCGAGCGCGCGGCGGCGGGCGGCAGGTGCGCGAGCAGCTGCTGCTGCAGACGCCGCGAGAGCGCCGGCGTGAGGCCCGACAACGCGGCCATCTCCCGCTCAGAAAACTCTATCGAGCTCAGATCCAAGTCCGACAGATCTAAACCGCGCTCCGTTTCCGTTTGCTGTGCTTTCGACGTTTGTTGCTTCTTGCCGGCTTTCTTACAACTACCTGCAACGGAACCCAAAAGACACACGGTTTTGATCATGCATTACGCTCACGGTATGATATTTACAGTGGCTTTTCGTGTTATTCTCGGTTCCGCTTCTATTTAAAAAATATTGCTAGAGCGGACTTACTATTCAATAATTTAAAAAATATTATAGAAAAAAAACAACAGTAGTTTAAAATTAGATTTAACATCGATGCAGTGGGTTAAAAGTTAATCGTTGAAAGTCTAATCGATTAAGATCAAACGGAAGCTCGGATATGCAAAACAAAACACAAAAGTATGCATTAAAATGTTGCTTTTTGATCAAATTCAATTTACCAGAATGCAAATGAACTGCTGTAGCGATGTGGACCGCGTTATAAAGGCATATCGATTCTGGTAAACAGCCGCAGCGCGGTGCGTAACACAAAACACATAAATGAAGAAATAAATATGTTGTAGTACCTATTCCTGTGTGTCGTTTGTGGCGGGTTTGTGGTTGGCGCTGTTGCCGCTGTGAAGTGAAGATTTGGTCGGAGCATGCAGTGTAACGCGCAACCCAACTGCAACCACACCAACACAACCTCACTACCGCTGCTCCGCCCCCGCCCCCGCCCCGCGGCCCTCGCTGCCCCGCCCCCGCCCCACACGAGAGCAATACTGAGTGCTACCACATCCACTATCTACACATTTATGCCACGTTTCACTTTGCAAACAAATTAACTGTAATTTTCCAAATAATACTGCCCAAACTCTAAAATTTTAAAAAATCTTAACTCAAATTTTATTGTATCGAACATTACTGCATTGCCAGACAATAAAATAAAAAATGCCTTTTCATTTCCAATTCATGCATTTTGCTAATTATAAAAAATCTATAATAATAACGAAGAACAATGCAACATTTTCCTGCTCGGGTTAGCGGGTAGGAGAAAATCAACACCTGCACATATAATGCAAAATTGAAAAAAGAACACTACAATGCAGAAAAAATGTTAAAAATATTAATGTTGTTAATTAAATCTACGAAACAACAAAAAATACGAAAACAACATATATGATAGACTTTATTATCATTATGAGAAGTCTGTCGAATATGTTGTGCAAGTTAGGTAAGATCAAACGATCGGTGGAAAACGGCGCTGGCATCGCGGCGCGATTGTCCCGCGCTTGTGACGCGGTTGTCGCGCGCTTGTGACGCGGTTGTCCCGCGCTTGTGACTCGGTTGTCGCGCGCTTGTGACGCGGTTTTCGCGCGGTTGTCGCGTGGTTCACGCGCGGTTGTGACGCGGTTGACACGGTCGTAGTCTCGCGGCGTATGACATGATATGGTTGGATAGTTAATTCGTTTGTTTAGTGAAGCTCGCGTGTTGTAAGTGCAGGCCGTGCTCGCCGCTAACTACGCGCTGTGCTATCGACAATGTTGATTCATGCTTTTCATTTTATTTTTATTCTTTAACTATACATTCTGTGGTTAAATTAAATACTTCTTTATCCTATTTTGGCTTTTTGGGACTATGACTATTTGTAGTTAAAATAAAACAAAAAAAATTGATTACTTCAGTGTTTTATAAACTTCTGAAACCTTCACAAAGCTTTTTTGTAATTTATATTATTTTCATCGAGATCCATTTAATGGGCACAGATTGTACTTTTGTAACTAAGAATATTTATAACTATTATTTATCATCTCTACACTATGTTTTTATTTATTTATTTATTTTTAATGCTTATATGGATCCCTGATGGGTAAAAGCCTCCTCCAACTTTGACCAGTGCTCTCTGTCCTTCGCCACGTCCAGCCCTCTACACTATATACTTAAATGAAAATATTGGAGCTTTTACCTCTTCTCAACTATTTTTTTATTTTTTTTTTTGTTCCAATAATTGCAGCTAAGATATTTTTAAACAAAATGATACAATGGGGTACATCTTAATGAAATAATTTATTTTATTCAACTCATATTTAGTTAGAGTCTTATAGCTGTGATTTGCCAAAGCAAGATTGTAGCGTGATTGTATTGTTTGTACTGCAAAGCGATGTAGGTGCGTGTAGCGAACGCGTGCATGTGCGTGCGCGATACCGGCGACGTTTTCCCCGAGCGAGCGACACAGTGGGACACAGTGTGACACAGTGGGACACAGTGTGACACAGTGGGACACAGTGGGACTCAGTGAGACACAGTGCGATGGTATGCGAGAAGCGTCACTCACCTCTGGGCATCGGCTGCCTGCTCTTGTTGAACATAGACTCCCAGTCGGAGTGCAGCTCGCGCGAGCCCCAGCCCTCGCGTCTGCGGAACACACGACAAATCACTGAAACAAATCTCATTCAATACATCGCTTTTTATTAAAGAAAAAGAAGCTCTAACGACCGTATATTTCTTAGTCTGAGACGTAATTTTCAATAATTTAACGATTAACTTTAAATTGTACGGTCGTAAGAGCTCGAGTTTTGTTGATTGTATGATCCAGACTCACGTTTCTGAGACACTTCGTTTACTTTCCACAAATTTATGAGTGCTGCGTGTAAATAAATTAATGTGGTCATTTGTAAAATCTATGTAAATTAGTTAAATGTATGTATTATATATGTTATAAAAAAATCGAAACTTTTCAATACTTACAAAAGATGTCTCCTTGGTAAATGGGGGCTGCATGCGGAAAATTAATAGTATCATATTAGTTGGTAAAAAAAAAAACTTAAAAACACATTCCATGCTAATATTATTTTTAATGAAAGTTATTGATGATATAATTTAATGAATAGTAAAATGTAAAAAATAGTTTTCAAGTAATTATATTCTTTATACAAAACTTACACTTGTCGACATTGTCTATTTTGTGACGAAAAATTGCAACACATTTCAATTCTAAGTATTTATATAAATAAAATGAAAAAAAAAACTTGCGTTATTTGAATTATTAATAAAAAAAAGTATTTTTAGTGTTATTTCAACACATTTCGTATAGACGTAAGGGGTGTGTCACACGCGCGTGGGAGGCAGTGGGGTGTACCTGTTGAAGAAGGGCGACTGCAGGTTGTTGAAGAGCGAGTGCGGATGCTGCGGAAAGCCGGGACCCTCCTCGCCGTTCAGCCTCTGAGTGAGCGCGCGCACCTGCACAGTTCACATCACCATTATGAATACATTACTCTTAAAAATCGGTATCACGATGGAACAGCGCAACACTAGATCATCAAACACGTCCCATCCCTATGACATCTGTCAACGTCATTCAGACGTATTAGAATAGCGCGCCATTCTTGCGAGAGTTAGAAGTCTGAGTGTTGAAGTTAATAACGCTGTTACAATTACATTAATGTCGAAAATTACAAATATACTGATGTCTTTACAACATTCACATATGTAATTTTACTTTACATTTCGTAAAACTTAACACAACATGACTTTTTATAATATAGACAGACAAGGACATCTCTAAAACTTAGTAATGATAGCTCACCAGCGCCCTCTTAATGTCAAAAATGTCACAAGACATTTTCGTTATTTAATTGCTACGTCTTTAACGCCCTTTTCTATGTCCATGTAAGTTTTACATATTTTGTGACAAAGCCAACCGCCGCCTCTCACCGGACCAGATAATCTTGTCTGACTATACCACCAAAGTATAGACCTACAAGGATCATATGGTATTTGGCAATTTTGAGAACTAACAATATCATCTTGAAAGCATTCTGACTAATGAGGGAGCGGCAACTGCCATGTATATTTCAAAATTTATTTACTCTGTGCAGGAGCGTGGAGAAGAGATTCTCAGCAGTGAGCAGGTGGAAGCCTTCATCTTCTTCATCCTCTTCTCCGGAGCTCACAGACTCCGCGCGCGCTGCACGAGTCGATCTGTACAATAATTATGGTTACACAAAAACACATTCTACATATTTTATTTAACGTATAGGAGATTTACATACCTCAGCCTATGCATATGAGTATCATCCTCCTCCTCAGATTCACCTCCGCTAACGAGACTGCTGTAATGTAAAATAGCAAAATGTATATTTCTATAATATAAAAAAATGTAAATACCCAATTTGTATTATATTATGAAATAATAGTGAAATACTGTATTTACTATTGACTGTATTTATGAAATATGAATATAGACTTATAAAATTAAAAGTTAAAAAAAAGCGTAATGTATTTCTAAAATTATATGTAAACAGTAATATTGCGTTTTATATAATTAAATAAATTCACAGTACCTGATACGTCTCGGCTT